CACCCCCGGTACCTCCTTTCTCCCGACACTCCAAAATCCATCCCGGTTTTGCCGGAGAGACGGTGCGCTTGTTTTGGTGTCTGGGAACAAGGGGGGAGTAGGAGGGCGATGGGGGGAAGCTGAAAAGACATGTTGGTGGAAGGGCAATTTGCATGAAAAATAGGGACGGATGATGAGGGACCCAGGCAGGGAATTTTGATTGCCCCAGAATTAAAAGACGCATCCTGCAAATCAGTGGCAAGACCAGGTGAATTGTATCGTGGCGTTTTCTTTGTGAACCCGGTATTTCGTGTTTTGTTTTAAAAGTAGCAGTAATAATAAGAACGTATTTTTGCTGGCTCTGCCTCCGTCGGGAGCCAAATGTTTTGCAGTGAACACGGTGCCAGCCGTATTTCATACATTAGTATATAATTCTTGTTAATTAGCAATAATTTACGTTAAGAGCATAGAAAATGTTGAGGTTACAGGTTTTATATCTGTACATTTGATCATCTTGTTATTTTCAAGAACTTTGCCTCCTATAAAATTAATTAGGTGAAATGTGGAGGTGTAATCAGCAACCTCTGAATTACCACTTCATTTCCTGGTTTTGATTGTAAATCAGCCCAGTCGGTACAGACTTTAGCAAAGTCTATTTTTGTTTAGCGCTACTTTCAACTGTCTGGTGTGGAAGCAGCGGGTTACCTTCCCCTGCTAAATAATACTGACAGCGTCAGAAAGAAATCAGGCCGCGGGAAAACATTATAATTGAGTAATGATTATGCAGAGCTCCTCGCTAAGCCAGTTGTAAGGGGAATACGGGTTATTTTGTGTCTTTTGCTGCGGAGAGTTGGTGAGCTAGAAGTTAGATTTGCAAAATACCTTTGTCTGTGGCGTGCAGCGAGCTACTGGTGGAATTAGTCCTGCAATAATTTACTCCCTCGGTCCGAACGCAAGGAAGGGCTGGGGAGAAAAACGCCATGCCCGGCAATCCCGCAGAAACACCCTGCTCCTCGCCCGGCTTCCCGAGGAGTGTGAAACGCACACTGTGTGTCTTATCGTGTCGGTCTGGAAGTTTAGAAGAAAACCCCAGCGATTAAGACATTGTTTTTATTAATATGAATGTAACCTTCATATTCCTGTGGTTGACCTTACGTTAAATTAGAAGTAGTACTAGAGGCAAGAAATGATGGACTGGATCCCGGTGTCCTAGTTGGAGCTGAGGTACGGCGAGGTAGTGTGCTCTTTCAATATTATTTTACGCAGCACAACTGGGAGCTACTCCAGATCTTCCTCCTCAATATTCAGCCTAGGTAGGGTTGAAATAAATTTAACCTGAGTTCACTGGATTTTTGCACTTTATCAAAATCAGTTCCAATATCGTGCAGTCAAATTAAAATCTATTTTTTGATTCTCTGTGGCTTTAAGTTCATTAAATGTGAAATTGGCAGCCAGCTAAAGAAGGTCAGGCTGATTAACTGTTTAGGAGTTGTATTCTGTCTCCCTTGCGTTACCTGGCAGTGTTTTGAGGTGCGTTGTATTTGTAGTACCCTCTCCTCTTGCTCGCTGCTGTTAGCGTGCGTGTCGTATTGCGCAGACAGAGGAATACCAACACGCTGCTGGTATTTATTTTATTTTTTTTTTCCTCGTGAAGGGCAATAGTGATGGAGACTGCACAGAGATTGCCAAGGTATTTCTTTGCAAACTTAACACACACACACACAAAAGCCAACAGAAAAGAGCTGCGTCTGCCTCGTTAGAGCATCCGCTGACAATTCTGTGAGCAGAAATAGCCTCATAATGAAGCTTTTTGGAGCTCATTCAGAAAATTTGTCAACTTGGACAACGTTAGGCAAGGTATTTTGAGTTTAAAGAAGGCACTTCTCAGCGTTGCAAGGAAACAGTGGCAGTCGCTTGGCCAGGCTGGTTTTTAGATGCTGAGGGCCACCAGTCCTAACACGTTGGAGATAATTTAGGCATTCCTTTATTCCAGGATACAAAAGGAAAAATGACTAATTGCCTTGTTTCCTTAAGTACTAAAAAATATCCCATCTAGCTAATATCTCTGGGTGGACTCGGTCGTGAATTTGGTATTTATTTGAATCCTGAGGAGTAGCTGAAAAGTGAGAGGTGCCTCCCCCCGCCCCGCAGGCATTGCTGCTGCACTTGCTTTTTATAATTTCGGTTTCTGCCATTTATTTATTTATTTGTCTCGTCCCCTCCCTCCCCCATGAATAACTCCCAGCTTTTGAATTTTTAAATTGGAAGCCGCAAACGGGCTGATAGGGATAGCAACACAAATACATATGTATACGTATGCACGTGCGTTATAAGGGCTATATGTGCCCCGTGTGTTGGTGCCTGGGTGTGTGTGGCCACGCGGTCTGGCTCTCCCTCTCTTTTTCTTTTGCGCGCGCACACACACACACACACACGCTACCTGCACAGCCTCTATAGGGGATATGCAGTATCTATATGTTGCAACACCTTTTGTCTGCACCCGCACCCGCGTAGTTCAGGGTTCTGAATTTTAGAAAGTAGGTCTGGCTGGTGGAAAATACACACCCATGTGTGTGTGAGAGAGTGCGTGCAGTGCTTTTAGCCTTGAATTCATATACATAAATAATACGTCTGGCAAGAAAACACCGTATTCGCTTCTCTTCGTAGTACCACAAGAGTTTTGCAGTGGATTCTTTTCAGCCTGTTCATTTAATTTTAGCACCGACTCGTTCAATCGAGTCAGAAATTTGGCCTCACGTAGGAACACAGAGACAGTTGCAGTGCTCGCTCTCCGAGTTCTGCATGCTACAGCTGCTTCTGCAAAATCTCTTCCCTGTAACTGATGAATTCATCTCCTCGCTGCTGTGCGAATAGCTGTGTTGCATGGGTTTAGCTGGGGGGGAGCAGGCGGACGTTGTGAGCAGGGTGTAATATTCATGAAGAGGGGGCTCGGCGCGTCCCCCCCCCCCCCGCGCCCGGTGCCTTTCCCGAGAGCTCTAATGATTCTCCTTTTGTTTCTCAAACTGCAGCCGAACCTCTTGAAGCCATTCTCACTGATGACGAACCTGAACATGGCACATTGGGAGCTCCGGAAGGGGACCACGACCTCCTCACTTGTGGCCAGTGTCAGATGAACTTCCCGTTGGGGGACATTCTTATTTTTATTGAGCACAAACGGAAACAATGCAATGGCAGTCTCTGCTTAGAGAAGGCTGTGGATAAGCCACCTTCACCCTCACCAAGTGAGCTGAAAAAAGCATCCAATCCTGTGGAGGTTGGCATCCAGGTTACGCCAGAGGATGACGATTGTTTATCAACGTCATCTAGAGGAATTTGCCCTAAACAGGAACATATAGCAGGTAAATTAAAGCAAGGAGAAGTGTTTGCGAGTTTATTTCCGTTTCAGTTGCAACGTAGTAGCATGTTCGCAGTTGTAAACTGCGGTGTCTGGCTCTCTGTTCTGCTCGCCGGGACGGCCGACGTGTTAAATACCCTGCCTTTGGTTAGCGGTGAGCGCACGACCGGTATTTCCTAGTGCCTGCGCAGAGGCAGGATCAACAGGCACGTGCCGTGCCAGCCGGTATTTCTAATGGTATTGTTTGAGGCTGCTCTCGTGATTTGCCTGCATTGTAGTCACCGTCTCCCGGTGTCTCGCCTGCCGTAGCGCTGCAGGAGGAGATTTCAGAGCCTGCCGCGCGATAAAGCGAGGAGCTTTTGAGTCTTTGGCAAAGTCAGGGGTGAAAGAGTTAACCGAGCATCAGCCAGCCTTGGTTCCATATTGGCTGTCAGCGTATGGACTGTAATTAAACACAGCCCCATGGCAAAGTGACACCACCGACCTTGACTTTAAGATGCCATTTTCGACTGGCCAGGCCAGAGTAGAGAGGGCAGTTGCTGAAGCGCACAGACATGCTTATTCGAAAAGTTTAAGGGCATGTTGGAAATTTCAAAAGGTTGGTTTGACAGGAAAGGCCGCTCTCTGCAGCCTGCCTCCTCAGCCAAATGATAAATGCTTCGCTGTGCTCTCTCTTGTCTCTGATGTGGTTTTGACAGATGTATCTTGATTTTGTTTGCGGTTTACACAGCCACATGTCAGCCGTACAAATGTCCAAGGCAGAGTTCTGTTTTGTACAGCAAACAATATGAAATGTAATTTTTTAAAAAAAGGGTAAATAATTCCATTTCTTAGCATAATATATATATATATATTTTTAAAACCAGAAAGCCGTTTGCCGTGGAGATATTTTCACAAATGAGGTTAAAAAAATGAGAGCGTACTACGTGAAAGAAAATCCCAGAGCCCTGGGAGTGTAACAAGGCACGCTCTGCTTTTAAAATCCTGCTAGTAAACAAAAGTACTACCCATTTGCAGCGAGCGTTGCAAATCACTTCAAACCGCGCCAATTGTACCGGTCGAAAAAAGGCGAGACCGCAGCGTATCAACGCCAACAAATGCCTGAACTGGTTTCAAACCCCCCCTCCCAGCGATGTTTGGGATGTGGCACTGCTGGTACCTCTCTTCGGGGAGCCCACAGGACCGCTCGGGGTTGTCAGAGGCGCAGTACATCATCACACGATGTGCTGGAGCTTGTCTTGGGCTTGCTTTGGCCACAAAGTTAAACCATAATAGGGCAGTAGGCACCGGGAGGTTCAGCGCGATACTCCCACAGCCTCCCTGGCCTCCAAACCGGCTGGCAAATCACACTGGGGAGCTGTAGTTTTGAAGGTTTTGCGGTGGCAGCAAATATGTGTCGGTGCGTGCGTGTCTGTCTGCGCACGTGTATGTATGCAAAGCCATGTGCGTACACACGCATACGTCATGTGAATGAGTGTATGCTATTTCTGCAGAGTAATAGGTATCACTTTGAATACGTGTATGTATGTATGTTTAAGAAGCAACAGAGGCTCAGCCACTGCTACGCTACATTTTGAATGAGACCCAAAAACCCTGGTAATTCTGCATATTGCAATTCCCAGCGACGGATGTTAAAGGTGTTTTTTTTTTTTTCCCCAGAGTGGTAAAGGGCAGTGCCCATTTCCATGTGCTGCCTGCAATCTGACGGAAAACGAGCAGAAGCGTAGGGCATGATTAATGAAGCGGGAGCCTGGCGGAAGGGATTTGTAGTCTTCCGAGCTCTGGAGCCATACTAAATCGCCAAATATGGAGGAGCGGCGGTATGATGTAACGCTGTATTTACGTACGGCGCCGCTCTGTTGAAAAGACAAAACACAGTGTCTGTCAAGCAAGAATTAAACCTGCTCTCCTTGCTGTGGTCCCAAATAGGTCCCTCGGCTGGCGGGACGGCCGCGCCAGGGAGTTCTGCGTGAGGGGAAACTCCTCAGCTGAGGGTTTTGCTCTGGCACTCGTTCGGCACGGGAGAAGTGGCGAGCCAAATCACGCTTACGCGTGGCGCGGGTGACGCGAAGCAAGCAGGATTTGGCCTCGCAGGACGTCACGGGGCCGTTAGTTCAGAAAAGCCTGTGGTTTTAACTGACTTTAAATGGTTCGGTGAGCGGAGGGCAATGGATAAGAAGTGCACATCGGCAGGGGCCTGATCCTGCTCGCTCTTACGTGTAGGGATCGCCTTTGCTCTGCAGGTGGTCCCGGCTGGGAGCGGGCTTGGTGCCGTGCAGGAGGGTCTGCGGTGCAAGCCACAAGTGCTGCTGCGAGTAGAGACCGAGCCGCAGTTGTCCTGAGTTTCCTGCGCGGTGGGGCCCAGCCGTGCCCGTGGACGGAAGGTCCAAGAGCGCAGGTCTTCTCCTGCGCCGGCCCGGCCGGGTCGGAGCCGAGAGGCGCTGGGGTCCCCTGGTTGCTCCCGGTGGTGGGAAATGCCGGCGGGCTGTGGGAGGGGGGGCAAGGAGCACCAGGAGTTACGGGGTCTCGCACCGTCCCTCCTCTTGGTGTTTTCATCTCCCCTCTCACTTGGATGAGTTTAGCTCCCTCGTATCGTAAAGAAGCGTGGCAATAGCTGGAGCGACCCGTTGCTTGTAGCCAGGAGTTTGTGGGGTCTGGCAGTAAAATTACCAGTGAGGGTCTTGGAGTGAGCTGTGGAGTTGAGGTTTCTGGAAGACCCCTGCAGTGAACCTCAGGCGCTTCCAATTCTGGTATTTTATATCTGATTTCTGTGCAAGAATGCAAAATGCAAAAAGATACGAGTGTGTAATTAAAAAAAGAAAAAAGGACAGAAGCTGCCTTTAGAAAAATATACAGGAGTTGAGGGAACCGATTGTTTCTGGTAAGAGACCAGAAAATACGTATTTAGTAGCAATGTAAAACTGTCCCCAATTAGTTGTGAGGCTGAAAGAGGTATTACGGGTTAGCACTGGATACAGAGGGTGCTATAGGTTAGCGCTGGGTGCAGTATGTGCTCTGTCTGCAGTTTTGTAGTCAGTAAGTTCGTGTGTTACAGTGAAAGATCCTCTTAAGATAAGTAATGGTTAAGGGTCTGCTCATCTAAAGACAAGGAAGGAGGCAGCCAGTTATTCAGATGCAGGGAGAAAGGATGTCTATTTTAACCGTCGATAGGCTGTTCTTTATCCTCACCGTTTTCCAGGAGATGGGGATGATTACAAGAGCTTATATGTATGTGTGCAACCTGTGCAGTAGCTGTGAGATCCATATAGGTGCAGGCATGCGTACCTGTCTCTTCCGTGTGGGTGTCTGCCTGCGTGTAGCTTTGACTTGCTATAAAATTTTGAGTGATGCTGATCCAGCGCTATAGCTGAAATGTCATAAATTTAACTGAAAATTAATAGGATATGTTGTGTGGGTCCAATGAGGCAGCTTTCATCAATATGTATGTCAAAGCCTCACCACCAGATACCGGCAGCCCGTGATTTGCAGTGAGTGCTACGGCAGGGCTTTAGTTATCCGCTCTCATATTTTACAATAGGGGGAAATATTAACTGAAGTATCTAGAGATCAGTGAATGTAAAATTGCTGTTCACTTATTGAAAAGGCTGAAGAAATATTTATCGTCCGCTGGTGTCAGGTTTTAGCGGTTTGTTTGTTGAACGTATAAATCTGAGGGAATTAATGAAAGGTTGTTTTTTGGGTGAGGAAGGATCTTAAATGTTACTTGGATTCAGTTGGAGGAACACTTTGGAGTGCTGCTGCATATTCCCCTTTATAATGCCGAGTGTGCATCTGCAGATGCCGTATTTACTGTACAAAGAGGGGAGGAGGAGGGGAGGTCATTTTTACTGCTTGAATCCTTTATTCTCAAGCTGCTTGTGGCATTCAAATAAAATATGTGGAAAAATAGCCTCTAAGAAAAACCTCTGTCTGCAGTAATCGGGGGAAGGTGGACATAATTTGGTACTAAATTTTGGACCGAGTACATTTGATTGTTACAGCTGTCATTACACCACAGAAATTTTCTGGGGCTGTTAATAGTAGTTGCTATTATAATTCTGTAGGTTGTAAATTGCGATTCCTTATTGTTTTGTTTTGTGCCGGAGACAAAAAATTATTGACGCCTGCATTGAATAGTTAGCATTGCATCTGGACAAAAAGATGAAAGCTTAAAAAAATGGGGGGTAAGGAATATGGAAATATTTTGAAGTCAAATTCTGTCTGCTTTCCCCATACAAAGAATCAGAGAGCACAGGCTGGGTAAAACAGTCGCAGGCGGGCAAAATAGTGAGGGTGCTACCCAAAGGCTCCCACTCCTGAGATTCGGAGCCCTGCGTACAAGCTGTATTTGTAAATAAGACAGAGAAAGGTTGTGAACCGGCAGCTTGGCTGTTTTGTCAAAGTACAATGTCAGAGAAACTCTTTCTAAGACAAATTGTAAATAGAAGTGTCACAATGATTGCATGATTGAGCTCCAGAAGTGTCTTGCAATTGTTGGCATTGTCAGAAGACTTTTGAAAGCTTAATTAAAGGCGGTGGCCTGTGCGGCTGTGAAATTTACTTGGGGGGGGGGGAATGTAAAAAATGTAGGGGATCAAAAAGTTGTTCCAGTGCTCCTCGTGCAGGGATTCAGGGAAGAGTCAATAGTTTCTCAGCTTACCCCGTTGTCTTTTATAAATAACATTTTTTGAAGAAGCAAACACGTGACACCGATATCATCCTTTGTACGAGGTAAAGCTTGTGTTAGTTTTCCTATTCCCTGCTGTTACAGACAGTTAATGTAAAAATGGCTCTTTATTGGAAACACAAATACGAGTTCACTCGAAGCACAGAAGCAGGGTGGAAAGTTTTCCTCTGCCTCGGCATGATCCTTCCAGGGGAGCATCAGTGTTGTGGTGCCCTGAATCTTCCGGGTTTTTTGTTTCCTGCAAATTAGATCTTCTGGTTTCAAGGAAGAGAAATGTTTTGCATTCTTTCTCCTATTGTATGGGATATCTAGCTGTG